AAAATACCAATTTTTATGTGTATGATGAATGTGACTCTCTTAATGTGCAGGAGACATCCCCAACCAAGAAGAAAAAGAAACTCCGAACACCGTCCTTCCTCAAGAGCAAGAAGAAGGACAAGAAGAAAGACAAGGAATAAGCGAAGATACACCCACCAAGAAATGAAACTTTTAAAAGAATTACTATGTTGGGTGCTACAATACACATCAGCCTACAAAGTGGAATAAGAGGCTTTTGGGGGGGGTTAGCTGCTGTAGGGGGTATTGCAGCCCCTGTAGTGGAGTGCATATTGGCAAAAAGGGTAGGCTGTGAAGGGGGTACTTCTCTTTGTTACGCAGAGCTGCATGCTCAAGACAATTAACTGCAGGTAGTACTCGTAATCAATTGTGAATTAAAGTATTGTGCATCCATGGGTCAGCAATGATTTGCCATAAGGAAACCACTAGCCATCTCAATCTGGGAGGGTGGACAGGAGGACTGTTGTTGGACTACATGTACATGTACATGTATATCTTATATACTACCAAGGTTTAACCCTTTAGAATTGGTACATGTATTCCATTACCACCAAGGAAAGTATATGATGTCACCTTACATTGACTTTTTAAATTGTCTTTAGGGTTTTGAAAGGACTTTGTACATGTTTTGGATTTCTTCCGTTTTTCTCTTCAAAGGGGATGAGAACATTCCTAAGTCTGCTCAAATAGCCCGAACACAGAAATTGATAAGAAAGATCTAATTTTTTCCCTTTCTTCATTTAAGTACGACTACTTCTGATGTCCATGTTAGTGCTCTGGTTAGTTTTCAGTACCTTCCGCTGATTCTGCATTTATACAGGTAGCAAGAGTGTATGCTGAATGAAAAGTTTTTTCACCTTAAAAGTATTGAGTAGCAAAATCTAACAACTACTTCGAAGAATTTCAGTTATAGGGCTATGTGTTATTGTATACTGTATACAATGTACAAGCTACGTGTTCAGTATGTAAGCAAGATGTTCTGTTCAGCTTGATCAAGCTGAAACCTGGCTTGTGAAGAATTTGCCAAAGTTATCCATGTTATGATGTAAGGATACCTTAACGTG